TAGAATCAGCCCAATCATAAATGGCTATAATAATAAGACAATGCAGTAAAGTCTGATAAAGATGAAAATCATACACAAACACTAGTTGTTTTTCAAACTGTAAAAAGTGATCAGTTGACTTGACTTAAAAAAGCAAGGAAACTAGTTACCTTAAAATCAAGTAAATAATCAACTTCATGAGTGATTAAGCAAACTAGCCTACGTTACAGTATGTGAACTTGACAATGTTTTCAATTACGCATGAGATTTGTTTGCAAAAACAATTTTCCTCACTTAGTTAAGTCAACTGATCACTTTACAGTGCATGGTCTCACTTTATTTAAGGGCTACAACGTTCAAGCCTTCAGTTTGAGTGAACTTGCTGCTTTATGGGACTGTTGAGGGTCCACAGTGAAGGATTGTGCCAAACTTCAGTATTCAGAACTGCCGTTTTTGTGATTCTTAGCCTTTTGGTAGCTCAAAGCTGCTATTTCATGCAATCCATCTTTCTCTACCATGGCTGTCATAACTTGAAGGTCTGAGTAATAGTAGAGGGCGCAATGCCTATACTAACACCGTTTCGAATAACTTTTCTTACTAAAGCAACACACTTTCTGCTTTGTGGGAAAGATGTGAGAATCAGATCAGATAGTCCGCCTATATGTCATCTACAGGCTATTGTGAATCTTACAGACTTTCTTTTGCTTTTAGTCGCCAATCTACTATACAAACAAATGATCTTAATGCATGCCATGGTTTTAAAAAACGCTTTTAGGAAGTTGTGGCTTTTGTGTGTTGGTACTTTATCAAAGCTCTTAAACAGGATGTCTGTTTATAGACATGTCTGAATCTCGGTATACGTTTCCATTCCTTGGAACAAATATGGGGCTTATTATTTTGGTTGTTTACAAATAGTATCATAGTGAATTATTTCTATAATCTAATTTATAATTTTTCCTTTATTTTTTTTGTTTTGATTATGCTTGTTGTTGCATATAAATTTGTGTGCCTTTTGGATACAGCATTTAGTCCTAACCATTGTTTGAAATGCATTTTTGGCACAGCATTTTTGGCTTTAATCGTTTTGAACAGTGTTAATGCCATAGCTACTACTAGGAATCAGTTTGTCCTCAATTGTTTGTCATGTTTAATGTAATTTGAATTGACAATAAATCAGTTTTTTTTATAAATAAAAAGCCCTTGTCTGTTTCTTTTTGACTGATAAATCATTGATATTTGTCAATGAATTGGATAAAAAGACTGCATTTGAGATGCTGATTTATCACATCTCTTAATTAAATATTGAATCAAATTTAAACCAGCTAAAAGGAAACGAGACAGGAGCACATTTTATGCATTAAGTAGCAGCAGGTTCAGCAGATGTAGTTTAGGAGTAATTTAGTTATTTAGTTAATCCATCAAAATAACACAAGTGTTGCTCCAAGGTAAGTAAAAACGAAACTAGAAGCGAATTAGTGCGTAAATTGAAAAAAAGATTTAAATTGCGACCTGTAGCGCCTGTTTTTTTTATATTGTACTTTGCGTTTGCTCCATCATAATGTGCAGTAATTCAGATGATGCTTTTGTGTAGCTCCTAATTGTTAATTAAAAACCACACTGTGCCACTTCCTTTCAATAAGGACTGTGTCCAAAAGATGCTTTCAAAGCATGTGCTTCTCTCACTAGGCTGTGATTACAATTTTTTTGCTCATTGATAATATTGATCTGATATATGAGGGTGCATGAGAGTAAGTTTCTCTGCTCTCTTTCTTTGTCCCAGGACCTCAGGCGCCCTTGGGGGCCAGTTTTGGTACTCCATTTTCCTCGGGTATTGGCACTAGCATGGGCTCATCAAGCCTCGGAGGTACTTCCTGTAATATACCTCTCCTCTCCCTTTCCATCTCTACACTCTTCAAGTCTTTCACTCTCATTCAGTCTTAAAGGGATAATTCACCTCAAAATGAAAATCCTTATTTATTCACCCTCATACTACACTGAATACAAATGTTTTTGAAAAAAAAAAAATTTGATATTTTGTGAAATCTTCATAAAATGACAGTTCATCATATTGAGCATTACTCCAAAATAATACAAAATACCAAAGCAACATAAATATGGTCCATGCACTGTGTTTAAGGTCCTTGCACTCAGTCCAAGATGCATTTTTTCGTATTCATCATTCGGTGGCTCATAATTGACAAAATGCCTGCTATGGATACGAAAAATGCGTCCAAATTTTTTTATGATGGACAAAATTTCGGAAGCAATGTGTAAACCTGACTGACACAACGTGAGGTGTTAATTTTTTTTTTTAAAGTGCAAAAAACTTTGGCCGACAATTTCTCACTCGGTTTGCAAGGACCTTAAGTCTTCTGAAGTTGTACAAGAACTTTGTGTAATCTCAAGAATTGCTGATTGGGTTATTATTGAGGCAATGCATGAGTCTGAATTATGAACAAATCAGTCTTTAGAGCTAGTTCTTTTAATGAGAGATGGTGTGTCCAGTTCACAAATTGTAGTAAACTATAAAATCACTTAAGGGAAAGATTGTTAAATTTTAGTCTTTTTCAAAACAACTTCTGAAATTGTTGATTATTTTAGTGCATAAGTCATTTAGACAATTCTTGAGATGCAAGCATGATATCTATAGTGTTTTAGTGCAAAAACGGGTTTTCATTTACTTTGAATAATAAAACAATGTTACCAAGTGGATAATTCCTTCAAGGATGTGGAACAAATTGGGACTCTAAGATGATTAGGTTATATATAGAAACTTGTATTTTTCACATTTCCTCCACCATGTTTTTCCGTCATGATTTTTTTTTTTTTTTCAAATATAACCCATCATTCATTCCTAGCCCCCATTCCCCTGCCCTATGACTGCGTGGTTATCTCTGGTGTATTTGTAGTCGTAACGCCTAAATGCCCCCCCTGTGTCTCTCGGCAGCGTTTGGTAGCGGCCCTGGGTTTGGGGGCGCAACAGGAGGTTTGTCGTTCGGGTTTTCCTCTAGCAAGCCATCTGGAGGGAGCCTGAGCGCAGGTGTGTTTGTTAGCACCCTCCTCCCTCTTCTCCGCTTTCATCAACACTAACCATTACTAACAGCTGCCCCTTAAATCTAATCTCCCCTTTCCCCCAGAATGCATTAACATCATGCTGCTTAAGGGCAAGCACTGCATATCAGAGAAACTGAAATGTGAAATTTGCATGGTTCATTTAACTGCTGTAATGTGGCTTACTTAAATGCTTGTCGTTAGCAGTAAACGTTGATCATTTTCACCGCTCTCATTTTAAACTCTATTTCTTTATCAGGGTTTGGAACATCTAACACCTCGGGCTTCAACTTCAGTAACCCAGGCATCAATGCGTCGGCTGGGTTGACCTTTGGCGTTTCCAACACACAAACTCCTGGATTTGGGACAGGTGGGCCACTGCTACAGCTTAAAAAACCACCAGCGGGAAACAAGAGGGGCAAGAGATAAAAGAGCAAGTTGTTGTGGGGTAAAGGGAAATGTCACGAGGTAAAGATGATGTGTCTCTCAGATCTTTATTTTTCTATATGCGTGTGCGCATACATGTTTTCTCTGTTGAATGCCATTAAAGGATTTGTTCAGCTCTCCCTTTTACTCTTGTGACTGTGCCGTGTTCTCGTTTACTGTTTTCCGATGAATTGCATTAGAGCTAACAGATGCACAAAACATCCGTGAAGGAATTTTGATGTAGATGCTCTTGGTATTGAAGATACTTTTGAACCAAGTTTACCTGTGTCCGTGGCTTTATTTTAAACCACATGCTGTGATTGTAAATGTCAGCCCATTCTATTAAGATGACCTATGTAATCGGTTTCCTGGTTATTTGTACCAAATAGATGTCAACCTGTATAAGAATGTTACGTTTGTATACCCCATTTTTGTTTTTGTCTTTGTTACCAAATAGTGAAACAAATTTCTATACTTAAGCAGACTTTGTGCAAACATGTATTTTTCGACAAGTTTGTGTTATTAAAAGAAGCTACAATTATATTGTTTTGAGTTTCTTTTTGTATGCATCAGAATTTTGTATCCAAGAATGTAAGCATATTATATATAGACCATTTCACAAGATGTAAACAACACTGGTCCAGAAGCACTTCCTGTCTCAGTTTGTAACTGTTTTCTTAATTTCACATGTAAAGAAAACATCTTAAAGATGTTTGTTTAACTTTTTGATTCAGTTTTAAATGTTCTGTAGGTTGTATTTTATCCCAGCATTTATGTAGTGTTAAAAAACTGAAACAGGAAGTGCTTCTGGACCAGTGTTGTTTACATCTTGTGAAATGGTCTATATATATATATATAATTACACATTTTGTTTAAGATATATAATGTAGTGTGAATGTATTCTTATTCAATTTACTAATAATTAAGTACATGTATATTTGAAAAGGCAATATTCCAGCTTCTGTTTTGACTGTCCTGGTTTAAACCTAGCTTAAATGCACACATACACGCAAAAACACCCTGTCCATGCCAGACTGGCGTGACATTTACAAAACATTACGTGTGATATAGAAATCTGAGGCTGAATCCGAAATCACCCCCATACCCTCAAATCGGGCGCTTTAGTAACGTTAACGTTAGTGGTGTCCGAAACCATAACGTTAGTTTAATCCCACATTGCACCACATTAAAGTGTGTACAGCTGATGTACACTCAACGGCTGTCCGAATTCGCTTACTCGTTGACTCCTTCAAGTGAACAATGTTAGTGGACTAACCTAGGGAATCGTGAATGAGGTTTGGAGTCTAATTTTGGATTCAGATAATAGTCGTGCGGATGTTGCTTGGTAAACTTCCCGGGCGTCGAGGTACGTAACCTAATTAATATTAATCAGCGAGCCATTTAATTCGCTAGGAGACTGGCACGCGCTTACCAACGTCTGCTTCTCATCCAATCAAATAGGTCTACTGGGTTAATTTCGTTCAACGTAATGAATATTCATAACTCAGTCGTTACCGTAGTACTGCAAATTAGAGGCTGTGCAAAGGCGGAGCCGAACCACCGAGGTTGGTTGGTGGGGCACGGACGGACGGACGGACGGACGGATAACATCCCTCCCTTTCCCGTCTTTTGTAGTCAAGGAAGAAGAAAGATGGCGCCTACACATGTACTGAGATGCTGCCAGAGGGGTCTGGCGTGGATACCGGTGATATTTATTGCCTTAGTTGTGTGCTGGTCGTATTACGCATACGTGGTGGAGCTGTGTATATGTAAGTGCGCTTTATTTTTCCCAACAGACGGGCACACGCCTACCGGAAGTCACTGAACTGAAACCTCAATGAATGTTTTGTTTACTGGCGTATTGACTTTAAACTGGAAGGAAAACAACAAGACCTATGGTTTTAATGTGTTTTTAGAGCATATACTGTGCGGTGTAGCATTCGGTAGTGTTTGTGGACACTAAGATGACCAAGTTACCTTATTGTTTAATTTACAGTTAATTTTAATGTAAGTTAAATAGCCAAACGCCATTAGTACAGCATATTTTTTCCCCAGTGTTACAGTTGGAAAACCATAAATATTTATTCACGGGCCCCTGTTTATTCAGTGTCCAGAGCAGACACCAGATTGTTGAGTTTCATAGGTAATGAAATAGTAGCACAAATTCTATTTTCAATATGGACAAGCTACTTATTATAAGTTTAAGCAGACATTTTCAGAAGTCAATCTGAGTCAATCAGAGTCAATCCTCAAGTTCACATGGCCAAGTGAAGGATGTCACAAATCCATATCTCGACAATTTTCATAGAAGCAGAAGTTTGATTGAGAAGGCAGATGTAACATGACATGAGTCACAATTCTGCTAAACAGTCTCTTTCTGTCTGTTTTTATTTTCTCTGCAGTAACTATTCCCAGCACGGGCGAAAAATGTGAGTAAAACTTTTACTCGAGGAATAATGTACAATCATGATGTTTCATCCCTTTTAAAGGAGTAGTTCACTTTTAAAAAAAACTTTTGCTGATAATTTACTCACCCCCATGTCATCCAAGATGTCCATGTCATTCTTTCTTCAGTCGAAAAGAAATTAAGGTTTTTGATGAAAACATTCCAGCATTTTTCTCCATATAATGCACTTTATTGGTAACCAAACGGTTCATGGTCCAAAAGACAGTTTCAGTGCAAACTGCAAACTTTTCAAAAGGCTTTAAACGATTCCAGACGATGGGTCATATAAAGCTAAACGATCGCTCGCTTAAAAAAAATGACAAAGTTTAAGTTTTATAAGCTGAAATGGTCGCCTTTCTCTGTTCTGTGATGAGCGTTCGTGACTCCTGTTCGAACTCGTTCATCAAAATGAACGAATATTTTTCTCAATTCAATGAGTCAATTCGTTCATTTCGTTCGTTGAATGAACCAAATGACAAGAAAAAAGATTTGTTCATTTTGATAAACGAGTTCGAACAGGAGAGTCACGAACGCGCATCACAGAACAGAGCAAGGTGACCATTTGAGCTTATAAAACTTAATCTTTGTTATTTATTTATTAAATGAGCAATCGTTTCGCTCGATAAGACCCTTATTCATCGCCTGGAATCGTTTAAAGCCCTTTGAACAGTTTGCACTGAAACTGTCTTTTGGACCTTGAACCATTTGGTTGCAATTGAAGTCCATAATATGGAGAAAAATCCTGGAATGTTTTCATCAAAAACCTTAATTTCTTTTTGACTGAAGAAAGAAAGACATGGACATCTTGAATGACATGGGGTTGAGTAAATCAGAATGTATTAAAAAGAGCCTGGTAAAAATCTTCTTAAATTCACACACCAATAAACTATTTATACTATTTACTATCTATGTATGTATGTTTATAAAAGTACAAAGCCCAGTTGTCAGGCTATTATGGCTTCATTCAGTCCATGCTTGTGCTGACTGCGGGCCCTTCAGCAAAGTCAGACTGCATTAGTAATCACAAACGCCTTTAAAGTGACTGATTTATACTCCGACTGTTTCTGGCAGGCTTTTCTGCAGGCTCATGCAGTCTTCTTAATAACTGTATACTGTTTGTTCCTTTCAGTAATCTACCTGGTTGTGTTTCACCTGTCATTCGTCATGTTTGTGTGGTCGTACTGGAAAACCATCTTTACAAGACCAGCAAACCCTTCCAAAGAGGTACAAACAGTTGTGTATTTGTTTTGAACCATCAGTCCATGGTAATGTGCCACATGTTAACATCATGTTAATGTTAGTTCAGGGATTATAAATAAATGCACAAAATATCTATTTGTTTCTATGGAGTGTGCTTTTTATGTATCATTTTTTACACAGTTGTTGTTCAAAATGGAATATGCTGCTGATATATCACACAATGAGCTGATTGTATTGTATTGTGTCTTAGTTCTGTCTACCTAAATCTGAGAAGGAACAGTATGAGAAGGAACAGCGTCCAGAAACTCAACAGGAGATACTGAAGAGAGTGGCCACTAGCCTGCCCCTCTACACCCGCACCGGGGCAGGAGGTTAGTGGATAGTAGACTGACTTTACACCCTCAAACACATGACCCACTACTTCAAGGGCATGAGTACTAGATTTTGTCAAACACAGGCTTAGCCTCTTAGTCTTTTTTTTTTTTTTTTTTTTGAGTGAAACTTTAATTATGTATTTGTCAACAATGGTTAATTTTAAACTATCTGCACAAACAGCATGTGTAAGTTTTTAGTTTAGCTGCCAATCAATTTTATTTAGCCATTCAGGATTACCACCCTAGTTAAGTGTAAATAATCTGTATTTAATTCTGGAACTCTTTAAAGTTTTACCAGGAATTTATTTTCTTTAATTACTGTCAAATTTCAAATTGAATTGTCTGGTTTTACTTTATTACTTTATTGTAAACTTGTCTTTCTGTCCGTCTGTCTATCTGTCCGTTCTCATAACTGATTATTCTCGCAGTTAATTTCTGTAGAAATACAATAAGAAACTGAAAAAAAATACCACAAAACCCCAAAATTCCATAATTATCATACTTTTTATATAATGTAATTTTATGTAATTTTTTTATTATGTTTAAATTATTTGGGCTATTATCATTTTATTTCAGTACTGTACAGCCATAATAGATTGTTATGAGAAGTTCTTCAGAAAAAATCTTGAAGCTTCACACACTGCTGATTCATGCTGATGTCAATACAGTTAATAAAGTGGCAATCTTCTAATTTTTCACTACATTTTATCATATTTGTGCCGGGTTGTTTGTTGGTTGTTGGCTGGCTCACTTCTTTGGTGACTCTGAGTCTATCTTTTAATGTTTGTCTATTTATTGTTTATTACCGTATAATCTATTCATTATTGTTATTTTACATATTCATTATTATTAATAATTAATTTTTACCTTTGTTATTTTGCCATAAAAAACTGAAACCGGTATGATTTTTTTTTTTTTTTTTTTCCCTCCTCTTCTTGTAGCTATCCGGTACTGTGACCGCTGCCAGGTCATCAAGCCAGACAGATGTCATCATTGTTCTGCATGTGACATGTGAGTTACTGTAGTCCCTCATGGTCAGTTGAGGGCATTTCGTTTCATTAGTTTCAATTTGTGTCGTTTTAGCGACTTCTTTCTTCTAAATGCTTTTTCTTGTTTCTGAAAGGTGTGTACTAAAGATGGATCATCACTGTCCATGGTGAGTGAGATGCAAGTTGCTGACACTGAAATTTTATATAATAGCTAACATGTCTCTTTCCCTCCATTATCCACAGGGTAAATAACTGTGTGGGTTTCTCCAACTACAAGTTCTTCATCCTGTTCCTGACCTATTCGCTTGTTTACTGCTTATTCATCGCAGCCTCTGTCCTCCAATACTTCATAAAATTCTGGACAGTGAGTAGATCCCTCACCTTTCATCATACTCATTCATGTACCTTTCTTCCTTGTACGTAAATGTCTTGATTGTCATATGTGGGTCATCATGTGTGGATAGATATGTGATCTCGGCGGTTTCCTCCATGTGCTTTGTTTCCCATCTACCAACCTTCTCCACTCTGTCACCCTCATACAACTGTTGTGCTGTCCTTTCCATTTCATCTGCTTGTTTTACTTGCTAATATTTAAAAGAAATTAATACTTATCTTAAGCAAAGATGCTTTAAATTGATCAAAAGTGACATTAAAGACATTTAAAATGTCACAAAAGATTTCTATTTGAAATAAATGTTGGTCTTTTGGACTATCTGTTCATCAAAATCCTAAAAATAATTGATCACTGTTTCCACAGAAATATTAAGCAGCAGTTTTCAACATTTTATAAATAAGAAATGTTTCTTGAGCAGCAAATCAGCATATTAGAATGATTTCTGAAGGATCATGTGACACTGAAGACAGGAGTAATGATGCTGAAAATTCAGTTATTCGATCTTGTAATAAAATTTCACAATATTTCTGTATTTAAGTAAATGCAGCCTTGTTGAGAATAACTTATAAACATTAAAAAAAATCATACTAATGTCAAACTTTTGAACAGTAGTCCATATGTTTGGACAAGCACTTGTTCGCTGCTTTAAACCCTTCTTCTCGTCAGCTTTTGCTCTCCTGCTGTGTTCTTCCTGTGTCTAACAGTCTGTCTCTGTTTGCAATAAGCTTTGCCGGAGGAAATCGGCAGAGAATTGTCCAAAGGTAATCCCTCACAGTGTTTAGTAAACGTGTCATTGAGTTACGTTGACTGTTTTTTTGTCGTTTTATCCCTGTGACCCTAACGTGCCCGTCAGGTTGTGTCGGAGTGACATGTTGCCCATGTCTTGCTCATTGTTGATCTTTGTCTCACAGCTCTCCTTTCTCTCTTCCCCCCTCTCTCAGAATGACCTCCCAGATTCTCACGCCAAATTCCATGTCTTGTTTCTCTTTTTTGTGGCGGCCATGTTCTGCATCAGCATTCTTTCACTCTTCACTTACCACTTGTGGCTTGTGGGAAAAAACAGGTCCACCATAGGTAACACACCTGACCATACTCACTTCATGTACTGTGTAGATAGATTCACGTTTCTAACAAAGCTGTCATGTCTGTAGACAATTTGCTCACTGTAGTTACCATAGCAACAACAGCAGGTCTGCTGTGCACAAGCAAAACCTTGTTCAGATTTATTTCGGTGAAATGGACCTTCAAATTTCCATGTTGACCAAATCAATCAAGCAGTCTTTGAAGCAATTTCCTGCTTGTTTTCCCATCAGCCCCTGTAATTTACAGCATAAATCCAGGTGGATGCTGCACACTGGTGGTGGTTGAGGAGATTCCCCTCTCTATGTAAAGCGCTTTGAGTGTCGAGAAAAGCGCTATATAAATGTAATAAATTATTATTATAATTATTATTAAGTCAGCTTCAGTCACAAGATCTCAATGATTTCATGTTGTGGTTTTAATGCATTTACTCTGCGTTCAAAAGTTTGGAATCGGTAAGATATTTTTTTTTAAAGGTTTTTGAAAGAAGTGTCATATGTTAACCAAGGCTGCATTTATTTGATCAAAAATACATTAAGTAGTATTGTGAAATGTTATTACAATTTAATACAACTGTTTTCTAATTTAATATATTTTAAAATATGTATACAAAGCTGAATTTTCAGCATCATTCCTTCAGTTTTCAGTGTCACATGATCTAATATGATGATTTGGTTCTTACTATCTTATCATTAGTGTTGAAAACAGTCATGCTGCCTTTTCGGTGAAAACTGTGATACATTTTATTCAGGATTCTTTGATGAATAGAAAGTTAAGGAAAAGCCTTTATTTGAAATTTAACATTTTACCATCACATTTGTTGCATCCTTGCTAAATGAAAGTAGTAATTTCTTCTTCTTCTTTTTTTTTAATGATATTTTAAACCTTTTTTGGATGTTTTTTTTATGTTCAGAAGCGTTCAGAGCCCCGGTCTTCAGAAGCGGCCCTGATAAAAGTGGATTTTCTCTTGGCTTCAGCAAGAACATTGCTCAGGTGTTTGGGGACCAGAAGAAGTACTGGCTACTTCCTGTCTTTACCAGGTGAATTTGAATATTAATGTTTTTTTGTGCTGCTTGCTAAGGCAATATTTTGGCCCATACATACTGTTCATGGTTTTGAAAAGCACCCTAAGTATTACATTTCTGTGCTTTCTGTTTTTCTTTTACACTTGGGTACAGTACAGTGCTACCACATAACAACACACTACTAACCACTCTCAATACATTAGTAACCACATAGCGTTGCCCTGGTAACCACTTACAACACCTTAGCGTCATACACTACTATTGAATAGATTGGGGTCAGTGATTTGTTTGTTTGTTTGTTGTTGTTTTTTCTTTTAAAAGTACATTTATTCACCAATGACATATTAAACTGATTTAAAGTGAGAGTAAAAACAATGACTAAAGAGAGTATGTTCCAAAAGATTTCTATTTCAAGTAAATGCTGTTCTTTTGAACTTTATTTTCATCAAAGAATCCTAAATAAAATATGATTCACTGTGTCCACAATATATTCAGCAGCACAGCTGTTTTGAACATTAATAATAAGAATTTTTTTCTTGAGCACCAAATCAGCATATTAGAATGATTTCTGAAGGATAATGTGACACTGAAGACTGGAGTAATGATGCTGAAAATAAATTACATTCAAATAGAACATTTTTATTTTAAATTGCCATAATATTTCACAATATTGCAATTTTTACTGTATTTTTTTTTTTATCAAAATGCAGCCTTGGTGAGCATAAGACTTCTTTCAAAAAACTTCTTACCAAAGTGTCCTTAAAATCTAGTTAAATATTGCAATTTTTGACCTTTAGAAATTAGATAAAGTATGTTTTTCTTCTTTTATAGTCAAGGAGACGGCCTTTCTTTTCCGACGCGGTTGGTCACTGTTGATCCAGAGCAGCCGACTGAATGTCCCCAGCCTGGCGTGTTGGATAAAGGGTGAGGTGCCGTTTCCTCTCTCACCATTGAGTGGCAGTGTTTGGGGAAAACCAACCAAAAAGAGATGAATACAATAGCGGTAACTCTGTGTGGTTCATTCCCACAGTACTGTAGAAGGACCTGCTGAGCAAACCAGCCCTCTCAGCGACTCCCAAAACCGTCTGTTAGGCAACGATTACCACGGTGAAGAAGATCACAAAGAGATAGATGTCTTAAAGTCTGGTACGTTTCTTTTCTTTCTTTTTTTTTCGTCTTTTTTTTTTTTGCTCCATTCTAGCAGGCTGAAGTGGAAAAATTGTTGAGAATATTCTTCATCTTGCCTTTCAGATGAAAGTGAAGCCATCACTATCTCTATTGAGAGCGAGTCATAGCTAGGTAAGGTTATTTCACAATACTACATTTTAAAAGTTTAGTGTCAAGGCCCGTTTTAACTAAGATGTAGGTGTGAGTGCTAATATAGATATCTTTATAGTTATCATTCTTGGTGCAAACAGGCCTTTAGTAAAAATAAATAAATAAATACTTTTATTCAATGTGTATGCATCAAATTGATCAAAAGTAAATACTTTTAATAATTGAATGTTATTTCCCTATCACAGTTTTCACAACAATTGATAATAATAAGAAATGTGACTTGATTTCTGAAGGATCATGTGACACTGAAGACTAAAGTAATGATACTTTGTCATCACAGGAATAAATTTAATTTGAAAATATATTACAATAGAAACCGATTGTAATAATATTTCACAATATTACGTTTTTTACTGTAATCAAATAAATGTAGCCTTGTTGAGCATAACTGATGTCATATCCTTTCTCTAGGACTGAAGCTGGTGAGGGGTGAGTCCTCAGCAGTTTCGTGCCTTTGACTCCCAGTACTGTTGAGGAGAATCACCGCCATCAAAGCTGATGCCTTAAACAGCGCTTTTTCTCGGAAAGCTCCTAAACACTTTCCATTTCCCACCGCTTACGGAGCATCCCAAATCTGTGCTGTAAATCATGTCTATAAAATGACTCCCATTCCCCGTTCAACTATAGTAGCTGCACTCTTTTAACAAAGATTTGCACGCATGTCTTTAAGCATCCATCGTTTTTTGCACAGGAAACTGTTTTGTTGCTCATAAGACATGCTTATTTCACTTGTGAGTTGATACAGATGAGACAGATTTTTGAAACTGTTCCCCAAGTGTTTACCAGGAAATGCACCACATCTGGTACCAACTGCTGTTTAAGTGAAGGGAAAGTGGAAAAACTTTTTTTCTTCTGGATCCGTACCAAGTGAACGGTCTGACTGAGCTCATCTGGAATCCCTTGTGCCACAGAGTTAATGGATGCGATGGCTCATTCGCACTTTTCAATTCATTACTAAAGAGTTTTGTTGTTTTTGGAATATACTTTTTTTTTTTAACTTCATTGACATTCGTCTATAAGATATGAACACACACATGTTCACAAAGTGCGACAGAGTGTGACCAGGCAGAGGACGCCTGCAAAAGACCCTTTTTGTGTATTCTTAAGCTGCTCCACTTGTATTGTGACTATTATTTTCTTTTGCCAGTCTTGAGATGATTCTGGTGTGAAATGCTGTGTACACGTCGGCCACTTTACGTATGCCAAATAAAGGGCTTATTACCAGAGCTCTGAACTCTACAGGAGTGTTTACAAAATGTCAGTAATACCTCTCTGCTCTTGCAGTGTAGCCAGTGTCACTTTTGGAAACCAAATGAAAATCGTTGTAGGTTCCTCCTGCAGTATCAGACCTGGCCAGCAGGCGGCATTTACACTGCTTGATGTTGTATTGCGCGGTCAGTGGTCTTTGGTATTGGATCACCAGATTTTTGTTCTCAATCCTCGATTAAAGGGTTAGTTCACCCAAAAAAGAAAATTCTGTCATTAATTATTCACCCTAATGTCGTTCCAAAACCGTTAGACCTTTGTTGATCATCGGAACGCAAATTAAAGGAGTAGTTCCCTTTAAAAAAAAACTTTTGCTGATAAATGACTTTCATCCAAGATATCCATGTCATTCTTTCTTCAGTCGAAAAGAAATTAAGGTTTTTGATGAAAACATTCCAGGATTTTTCTCCATATAATGAACTTCAATGGGAACCAAAAGGTTCAAGGTCCAAAAGACAGTTTCAGTGCGAACTGCAAACTTTTCAAAGGGCTTTAAACGATTTCAGACAATGAATAAGGGTCTTATCAATCGAAACGATCGCTCACTTAAAAAAAAAAATTAACAATGATTACGTTTTTTAAGGTCAAATGGTCGTCTTGCTCTGGTAGGGTTAGGGTTAGGGTGTGATGCGCGTTTGTGACTCTCCTATTCGAACTTGTTCATCAAAATGAACAAATCTTTTCCTGAGTCAACTCCTACATTTCGTTCGTTGAATGAACCAAATGACACGGAAAAAAGAGTTGTTCATTTTGATAAATGAGTTCAAACAGGAGAGTCACAAATGCACCCTACCAGAGCAAGGCGACCATTTAATTAATGACAGAAATAAAATTTTTGTGTGAACTAACCCTTTAAATTATGTTTTTACCTTTTTTCTTTTCTTATATTTTATACATAAGCTTTGTGAATAGCTCTTCTTCAGATTTAAAATGCAAATGTTTTTAGCCATTTTTGCAAAGCGGTAAAAGTGTAACATTCTTTTTCTTTATTTATATTTGTCGCAAGTTAGCATTTGTTAACTTTGGTCCAGCGTGGAATAATAATTGTGCCCCGTCAGCCGTGACTGTAGCGTGAGCTAACGTGAAACTGATGTTTGGAAATTCAGATGTTTTATGTATCGCAGTATTGCTTCATTTGTGTTCTGACGTATGTAAAGAAATGACAAATCAAGAGATTCATGCGAACATGCATTAGAGTGCCACTGTTCTGGAGTGTTTGTTGTTAATGAGGCTGAAGCAAGTAAATAAACCAGTAAAAAGGGATTTTATACGCCCACAGCATTTATGAAAAGATGTACTGTCTCAAATCTGGAATGGCTTCTTCTAAGTATTACCAGATGAAGGGTTTTGTTTTTGAAGAGATATTTGACTGTTTATGTGCTGTGAAAATCTAAGTTTGTCATCACTTTTACCATCAGTGACCACACATTGAAGATTGCTACTGGTTATAAAGTAATGTTTTATGTAAAATAAATGGTGTAGCTGTTTTGTGGTGTTAAGGAATGCGTATAGTGGTACAGAATGGGTTTAGAGATTGTTTTTGTCTTTTAAACAGCTTTCTTATAGGTATGAATTACACAGCCTTGATGAAATTAAAAAAGATGTTTTTTATGGTGTATCTCAGTTCTGTTTCAAAGCATGGCCCTAAAAACTTTTTTTTTTTTTTTTTACATATTGTCTTTTATTGCATTTTTATACTTTATTAATAAGTTAAAAGTAAACATGAAGCCATAATGAAATTAATGGTGCTTCAGTGCATGGCAAACACAGCTACATATTTGATTTACTGATGTGAAAGTCTGGATTACATGTTTTAAAATGCATATGGTACAGATAATGTAAAAAGAAATACATATTTTTTAATTTTGTGTACAAAGTGCATACTTATCTGTAAGAAGTAACAATAAATGTCAATTTCTTAAAAAAAAAAAAAAAGAAAGAAAACTAGTTTTGTGTTTGTGCAACATTTATACTTTACAGGTTTGATTTGAGGTTCGTAGAAACATGCCATTAATCTGATAAATTAAATGATGGACGTTTATGAGATGTCCTCATTAATAATCAAACGTGTGTGTTCGTTTCAAGGGCTGTTCTTTACCCTGAACTCTGTCCAGCTCATTAGCACTGAGGTCATTCAACTCTTGCAAGCCACAAGTTCAGCATGTTAAACATACTATTCTCACACTCCTTTTGAGTTTAACCATCTTTGTAAAAATGTGTACGTATTGTCAATCATAAGTGAACTTTGGTCTGTCTGATCTTGTAACATAAACCCTCCCTGTTACTGTTTACGCTTGTATAACAAACGTTCTCAAGCCTCAGTTTTGTTTCGCTTACATGGTGGGAGAACATCTATCTATCTATCTATCTATCTATCTATCCATCCATCCATCCATCCATCCATCCATCCATCCATCCATCCATCCATCCATCCATCCATCCATCCATCCATCCATCTATCTATCTATCTATCTATCTATCTATCTATCTATCTATCTGTCTGTCTGTCTGTCTGTCTGTCTGTCTGTCTGTCTATCGTCTATTCTTAGAACTGAGTACTATGCAAGTAATTTTACTTAAGTGACAACAAAATAGATTAAATGAGAAGTTCCTCAGCAGTGTGTAAAGCTCTTTTTCTGTCATTTGTTTCCTTTTTCTGATGTCAGTAAGGAGTGACTCATTTTAACATTATTGCCAACTCTAGCTATACTATAGCCCAGTGTTTCCCAACCCTGTTCCTGGCGGCACACCAACACTGCGTGTATTCTGTCAAACACACCTGATTCAACCCATCAGCTCATAATCAGGTGGGTTAATGAGCTGATGGGTTGAATCGGGTGTGTTTGATTAGGGAGACAAAGAAAACACGCAGTGTTGGTGTGCCGCCAGGAACAGGGTAGGGAAATACTGCTATAGCCTACTCTAGTTTTTTTTTTTTAAGTGAATTAAGTGCTTATCCGTTACATTTCCCGCATTTTTTGTACTCTAGCTCAATTTCTCCGCATATCATAAAATCCTGCAGAAGCCACTCAGTGTGTGTGCTTGTGTGACACTATTGCGCAGGCGCAGTGTAGTCGGATGAAAGAGTCGTATTTTCATTGGTCAGTGATCCGTCATTATTTACCCCGTGTGTGGGCGGCCCTTTAACAAGTGTTGGGATTCCTCTACACACAATCTACAGAACTGCTTTCTCCTCAGTTTATTGGTTTCACGCATGCTGAAACCAACAGGTGTTTAGGGCAGTGAGGTTTGCACGGATTACAGTTTGCACTGGCTATATGAACAAACGGTGACTGAAGATGTCAAATGTAACACTTTTTGATCCAAGATGCAGACAAGATGCTCCGTTCTCTATCGATGTTATTATGCGTGAGTATTTAATGAGTTGCTTTTCCTTAACGTTGCTCCCTGATGTTTATTTCCTTAACACGAAATGTGTTTTAGGACAGCTGTCAAATATAAAGTTGCTTTCACTGGATATTTTTGTTGTTGATAGTGTAGATAGCAAAGATATGAACTATTTGACGTAATTGACCCCCCCCCCCCCCCCATTATCATTATTTTTTATTAAAAAAAATACATACATTTATATTTAAGTAACTCTAGCAAATAACTCCTATTGTACGTTGGACATTCTAGTCTCCAAATTGGCATAAATTACTGTGGTCAAATTTGTATCTTTTTCCTGAACCTGGAATATTTTTACATTTGAATATTGTGAGATAATCAACACTACTGTGATAGTACAACAATGTAGCCTATAATCAACCATACGACTAGATCTGTAATATTATTTTTGATGTTCGACATGTTTGATGTTTTCATATTATTTATGATGTTCTACAACAAAATTAAGTTATTTAAAATTAAATTTTGTTCATTATTTACAGTTACATTTGACATTTGATGGCTACACCCATAATTATTCAGATACAAGTGTCGATTAATAAATGGATGGCATGCTGCATTTTTTTTATATGGTTGTAAAAAAAAAAAAATGCCCCTGAAAACCACAAGTTAATATCTTACACTGCTTCCCACTCATTGTTGATAAGAAGTGATTATCCTGTGGTTCAGTGCACCTGAGTTTGTACACATGGTGTGATAATGTTGAATGGCACTGGTTCTTTCCAGGTGTCACCCTCAGCTACAGTTGACTATACGTGTGTCAAACTCGCATACTTGTTTTAATAGTTCTCATCTTAAATTACTTAAACTTGCAATTGTGGGAAGGTCTCTGGAGTAACAGCAGTGATAGTTCATCTGAGGACGAATCAACTCTTCCAAGTAGTGTACATTCACAATTGTTAGGCAGATGTTTGACAGATGTGCTCTTGTTGAAATGACTTACAGGAAAGTGCATAATGCTTTAGGTGTTTGGCAATGTTAAAGTTAGGTAATTAAACATCACATCAGTGTACCTAATAAAAATGATGAGACTCCTGGTTTGTTTAAAAAATTCTTTAAATTCTCAAGAAAACCCAGATTTCTCCAGTGTACTTCATTCTGATTGAAAACACATGGATAGTTAGGAAGTGATTTATAAGGTTTCAAAAGGATAGTGGTTTTAAAAGAGTTTGCAAAGTTTTTAAATTGTTTACCTCAAAGTCTGTTTTCCTTTTACTCCAGGCGACATGCCTTTAACTTATTATTGTATTGCTTTAATAGCAATAGATGAAATAGTCAGATGAAATAGTCAGTTAAAGACAACTGGTAAAGTGGGACAACTAAACTTAATCTTATCATTATATGTATATTTTTCCACTTTTAAACAATACGCATCAAGTACTGCTGTCAAATTGATTAATTCCATCACACATAAAAGTTTGTTTATATATATATATATATATATATATATATATATATATATATATGGATGTGTGTGTGATTTTATATATATATATATATATATATATATATATATAAAATCACACACACATTATATATTTACAAACTTTTAATCACGATAAATTAATACATTTGACAACACTTCTATTTATATAATATTATAGTATGTATCAATATTTAGAATTAGTTTTTACTTTTGTTTAATTTTCATTTTAGTTTAAGTTTTAAAGGGATTTCACCCAAAAATGAAAATTGTCATCACTTACTCCCTCAAATTGTTCCAAACCTGTATGAGTTTATTTCTTTTGTTGAACACAAAATAAGATATTTTAAGGAGTATTACAGGTAGTAAGTAACCAGACCGAAAACTATAGAAATCAATGGCTACTGTCAACTGTCTGGTTTTCAAGTTTCCAACATTGGTGAACTATCCCTTTAACAATTTTGTTTTGGTAATTTTTATTAGTTTTAGTAATTTTATACTACAACTTAAGTTTTTCATCTAATACTTAGATTCCACCAAAACCTACAAATAGCCAATAACAAACAATCGTTAAGTGTACCTAAATGATTCCCATATGTTAGATATGGAAGCCTTATATTTCGCTTAAAAATAAACAATAAAAAAAAGTTAGATATAAATTCGCAAATACAAGAAATGAGGTGTATTGTGTTTATTATTAATATTACTTTCCAAACCTTTGGACCAAACCATGTTTGTTCTTGTGTTTCTCAGAGTTGGACATCTTTGGCATAGTCCTCTTCTCTGTGCTGACTTTAATGGCCACGGTGTCTATGCTGGTTTTCATTGAAGAATGCATCTACATCTATAAGAAAGTACCGCCAAATAAGAAAAGCATAATCATCTGGGTAACCGGAGCAGCACCAGTGAGTTCTATCAATCAATCAATCAATCAATCAATTGTCCTATAGGTTATGTCCCTCCCTGTCCTCTAGTGTTTTTTGTCAACTTATGAGTTGACATGTTAGTTCTTATTAGGTAAGTTTAAAAGAACAAAAAAACATTAGGGAGGGACATAACCGATGTAACCTGGGTGGGTTATAGATAAAACTCATATGTTAGTTGTCAACTTATGAGTTTTATCTGTAACCCACACAGATGGAAACTGAGGCAATGGTTATTCATTTATAGTGCGTGAATGCCTGGACGAGTGATTATGAGTCTTAAGTTCATCTTGGCTTCTGATGCATTATGTTTATCACTCTCGTCTTCAGGTTATTGCTACCATGTCTTGTTTGGGCATGTGGGTTCCAAAGGCCACGATGTTCACTGACATGACATCAGCCACGTGAGTTCACCATTAGTGCTCTACTTTTGTCCAGTGTAGTAACTGTGATTCTGCAAACCAAAGTACTTACTGTCCCACCAGATATATTGTATAGCGTATGGAACTTTGAATTGGATTTGTGGGCGTGTGCAAGTGAGACACACAAAAGCAGCAAGTTCTAACATTAACGTATCTGTGACTCAATTGACAGATACTTTGCAGTTGTGGTCTTCAAGTTCCTGATTCTCATGATTGAAGAGGTCGGAGGGGATGATGCTTTTCTCAGGCGCTGTGAGAAACAGTCGTTCAAGATCAGCACAGGACCTTGCTGCTGCTGCTGCCCATGCCTGCCTAATGTCCCCATCACACGGTAATCAAACCTTAAAGTGTGCTTGCCGTCAGACCCAAGAGGATTTTACCTGTGCAAAAATCGCTACCACAATGCAATGCTGTTGGGGGTGGTTGCTAGGGTGTTGCTAAGGCATTTTAAGTGTTCTAGGGCTGCATTGCTGTGCAGTTGCAAGGGTGTTTTGGGTGGTTGCTACTAGGTGATCGTTTATTGGCCCTAATCAAAATAGCCAATCCTATGACGATGAAATCTTAAAAACTCCATGGTCGTTTTTTCATAATGAATATATTTGATCAGGTAGAAACTGATTTAAAACTAATGGTTTTGGACAAATCTTTAGTAATTTTGTTGGGTTTTTATCATATAGTTTGTATTGAAAAAAAATTCAGTTTTACTTCATTGTAGTACAAAATTAGAACACCTCTTATAATTTGTTAAATTCTTAGTAGCCTGTATAGAAATAAATGAATCGCTCATATTAACGGAATTGCACCTCTATCTTACTAACAAACATTGAAATTGGCATCTGAAATTTTGGCCAGTTTGCCATCAATTGACCATATCTTGCACTTGCATAGCAGTGCACCTCTGGCCATTCAACTCTTCTGCAAATATGAGGTCTTTATCATGCTTAGTGCATAACTTAAAATGTGCACCTCTGGGCCATTGCACCCTTTGCTATCTGGAAGAAAGGAGTAGTTTGTGGCGCCTGGAACCATTAGGTTCACGCTATATCAGTGTTACAGTATGTAAGACGTCCATTATCAAACTCGATGTAAACTTTAGGAAATACCTGTGGGTGGGATCATGTGAGCTGGAATATTAAATTTAAAAGATGATTATTTAATTTTTTTCAAACTGTGCCTTGATTTTTCAGACGATCTCTTTTTATATTGAAACTGGGGTCCTACCAGTTTGCGCTCATGAAGTTAGTCTTCACCATCCTCTCTATAGTCCTTTGGACGAATGGCAACTTTAATTTATCTGATGTAAGTATAGACTGTGCTGTGAAAGTCATTTAATAGCTAATTTTATTAATGAACTTGCTGAGTGTCTCTTTCTCTGGTCTGTAGGTTTCGGCCAGTGGAGGTGCCATATGGATAAACTCATTTGTAGGCGTTCTCACCATTATTGCCCTTTGGCCTGTTGCAATCATGTTCATGCATGTGCGAGAGGCTTTACGCACCCTAAAAATTATCCCTAAATATGCCATGTATCAGGTATGTGTGTGTTTTGTACTTATTCCTTATATTTTAGAACATCATTGATATTGCATTGCTAGAATTACACATTAAACATTAAATACTGTTTTGTCGCCGTTTCGTTTTTATGACAGTTACCTTTGAAGTGTTTATATTTCAAAAAATGAATTGGAGTAGATGCATAATTATGTAATTATAAAGTAAGTATTATTTATTATTATAAAAACTTTTAGGTGTTTGCATAGATTGTACCGTTTGAATAGATCAGTAAATTTTAACTGTCAATATTTGTAATGTTGTACCTGACTCCATGTATAGTTTATATTAGTTGATTTTTTTTTTTCTTGAGAAAATTGGTCATGTATTGTACCTGATATATGTCTAAGTAAATCTTATAGAATTGCAAACTTGTGAATCGAATCGTAAGATTTGTGTCAGTACCCAGCCCTAGAATGAATGATTCATCAATTATATCTGCCCATAGTTGGTGCTTATTCTTAGCCAGCTGCAAACTGCCATCATTAACATACTGGCAATGAACGGGACTATTGCCTGCGCACCACCCTACACCTCCCAGACCCGTGGATACTGTGAGTACCACCGTGTTGCAGAACAAAACACAACAATCACAACAAACACAACAAATTGTCATAGAGCACAGGACTTAGTTCATCCCAAAATTAAATTAAATTAAAGGGGTTGTTCATCCCAAAAATAAAATTTAGGGCTGTCAAACGATTAATCGCGATTAATCGCATCCAAAATAAACAACACACATGCATTTATATATAAAATATTTATATTTATATAATATAAATTATATATAAATCTATATACAGTATATACATGAAAATATTTCTTAAATATATACAAGCATGTGTGTGTATTTATATATATATAAAATAATTATACAGTGCACCCACATATATTATGTAAACGCAAACTTTTATTTTGGATGCGATTAATCGCGATTAATCATTTGACAGCCCTATTAAAATTCTGTCATGTCAAACCTGTGAGTTTCTTGAAATGCAAAAAAGTTGGGATGCATGATATATCGGCCAGCATATCGATATCGGCCGATATATGTTCATTTTTAATGTTATCGTTTTCGGCCTGGTAAGAAAACGTGGCCGATATGTTAAAGCCGATAAACATATTATTCCGATAAATGTATTATTCCCTTCAGCTGAGACACTTGTTGAGCACTGAAATAGGATTGAAATCTCTTCAAAAAATTAAAATACGGTTCGGTACATAATTTGCAGCGCATATCTGTCATATCGGCTATATAACACTATAATGAGAACATTATTATAATTGTGCGCTTGGGACATGGATTTAATTGTGAGGCTTTTGTTTTTGTAATCAGGCTCTAAAATTAGATACATATTTGAATTTGAGTTTATCGGCCGATATATCGGTTGTCGGCTTTCAAATATAAAGAATTATCGGTATCGGCCAAAATTTTCATATCGGTGCATCCCTAGCAAAAAGAGACGTTTAATGAGCTGCTCTCTTAATGAAAATGGATGGGAGCCCAAGAGTTGTCAAGCTTTCCAAAACATCATAAAACCTGTGCTCTTTATCTCAAGTATTTAAGTAGATTTTGAAACTTTATTCTGTGATAATCTTATTGGTAGCCATGGTCACCATTCACTTTCATATTTCATTGTATCATATCTCATATGTCATTCTACTGTAAATAACTCATTTTTCCCCTGCATGGTACGGTACGGCTCGAGTCGGTACGGCTTGTGACGCTTTTCCACTGTGTGGTACGGTACGGGACGGCTCGCTTTAAATGGCACCTGTTTTAAAACTACTTGCTTGACTTGGAAAAAAAAAAGAAAAAAAGAAAATTTCCAAAAAAAGAAATGGCTGGATCGTGGTCAGTGAACGAAGTGCAGACCTTCCTCTCGTTGGTTGCCAAGGAGCGGATAAACTATAACGGTCAGAGCCGAGGCGAATCGCACTGAGCCTACCGAGCCGTACCAGCAGTGGAAAAGAAAGAAAGTCACAGTTTCGAAAGACAAAAAGTTTGTCAAATTAAATTTTTGTTTAATTCGTCTACACCTACAGTATAAAGAGAGTCTGGTTTTCATGGTTCTCATAAATACCCTCAATTTCTTTTCACAGTGATGAGTCAGCAGATGTTGATCGTGGAGATGTTCATCATCACGCTAGTGACTCGTGTTTTATATAGACGTCCGTATGACCCCATACCAGATGCGGATGATGTTGAGGAGACAAAGACTGTCCTAACTGCAAAAGATATTGCCTGAGAAGAACAGACTGTTGTGTGTGAATGAGATTGTGGTATATGTTTGGGGCCTGTTTGTTCTGGGGGGAAAGTAGTCAACAGTGATGGTCATTAACTTTGTATTTTCTATATGCATGCACATGGTATATCTAATATTTTGGTAGATATGTTTTATATTGAGGTTACTCGTCAGCAGAATTTGACTGTAGAGTAACCATGACTTTGAGGGCCCTGATATCAATGTTTACACTTTGTATTGGGTGCGTCAACCTGGAGATTTACATCAAGGTTCTGTTATTTGGAATGCTTGGTCTGTTGATAGGACCACTGAGCATAATAAATCTCGTGAGTCATGGTGCGTATTTCTGATGAAGTGAGATAAAGTAATCTCTGTGGCATAATTATATGATGCATAAAAGACTTTTGTAATTGTTTAAACGTCAGATATATATTACCCTTGTAAAATCTGTCACTTAATATTGTTGAATATAGATTTTTACAGTAATCGTGTCATTGTCTGTTGTTATTGTTAAATTAAACTAATAAAAAGAGATTGGAAATAAGCTAAAATAAAATATTAAATGATTATAAAAAGAAATTAAATATAATATTAAAATAAATTAAATATAAATGAAAAACTTAAACTTAATATAAATAAATATGTCAAAAGCTAATGAGAAAATAAGACCAAGCAAATATTATTTAGTAGCCTAAATAATACTAAAAGAACACTGCTGTCTGCACACATAACGGAAAAGCAACACAAATGTAAATGAAAACATTGGCATTTTTATGCTTAACTTTTCAGTTGGTCAGACTGGAAGACTAGCAGTTCAAATAGGGTGGTTTAATTTTTTTTTACCACAGGATAAATGATGTAATGTGGGTGAGTTTAAAAATAGTAATTATATATATATATATATATATATATATATATATATATATAATAAATTGTTGGGTGATGGGTATCAGGATGACACACACAAAATGTAAATACCGAGGTAAATACAGATAAACGTCATTGAAAACAACAACAACTTATGCCCGCTGTTCTGCAACCTAACTGCCAATAGAGAGGTGTTTATTCCTTTATTCAGGAAAATAAATAGACCAATCACATAAAGCACAGTCTTTTTCCGGGCTCTTCTCAGCAAATCACAGTGCTCGCTGTTTAAAATCAAGGTTGGTTGTGAGTTCGCTGCTTCGCTCTTGTGTACGTGCTGTTTAGCGCAACAGTGGCCGTGCTAGAAAACACAAGACACTGGCATTTAATGCAGTGGCCTGTTAGAATAATAATATGATACGGAGGTAAATATTCGGATACGGATGTTGCTGTCTGCTCTACTCTTTGGACGATCCCTGCCATGATCCCAATATAAAGAACAGCCGTCTCGTCCGTTTCACATTTTCCCTCACAATGAGACTCTACGCATTTCTTCTGAATAACCATTTACCAAAGATAGAATATTATTCAAGGTTTTCACCATCACCCTTGTCAATTAAACAGTTTCTGGAATTTGGTAAGTGCGAGCGCATCCATCACATGACACTGAGAGACAGAAACTGCAGTGGAACTTGTTACGTTTAATTCAGCATGATTGTTGATCGCCTCGTCTATTAAAATGTTGTTATAACCTTTTTATATATAAATATATATATATATATATATATATATATATATATATATATATATATATATATATATATATATTAACGCTTTTTTAAATAAATATTGTTTTAGTGTTAATCTGTCCTGATTGTAAATGTGACCAATGTGATCTGATAAACAAGAACTTTGTTTAGTTGGAAAACATTCGACGTTTGTATTTTGAGGTAATTCTGTTTTTTTTTTTATTTTTTTTTATTTTATTATGAGTATACAAGGCATGTCATCAAATGACTTTCAAAGTTAACTTTTTTTAAACCCAGTGATGTTATTTGCTGACGTCAAACTATTTGCATATTATAATGATATGAAATATAATTATAGTAATATTAAATAGTGGTTGTCCGTTGATTTAACTGTATTCCTTCTAAGCAAGAGGGATGCTTTTCAATGCACGTATTTAGTGTGTGACGATATATGAATAATACATTGACTACACCTAGGTGAGTCAAATGCTAAAGTTAGTCAAAATAAATTGTTTTTAATGGATAGTTCACCCAAAAATGGCATTTACTCCTATTTTGTCCTAAACACTATTACTTTCTTTTTCCCGTGAAACAATAAAACGTTTCGTTTTTGGGTGAAAGGTCCACTGAACAATCACATTTATAGCACAAAAGGGACTGTCACAATGGCGGTGTGTCAGAAGAAAGGCTTATGCAACAAGGATAATTAATTATGATATTATTTACAACCTTAAATAAATTATTATAGGGATAGTTAAACCTGCTTGTGATGTTTCAACTAAAAGCATATTGGTGCACTATGAAGGCCTACACCAAGAGTGTATATTTGTCACATAAATTAAAGTCACACTAAGTATTTGTATAGCACTTTTCACAAAGCAGCTTTACAAAAAAATAGCAAATTGTCAAAGCGGGCATAAAATGGAAGTTGTGATAGTTGTGGTATCTTTCTTAATATCTTCATTACTTATAGTTGCATTTTCCAGAGTAGCTAATGCAGATTCTATTATGCGATGACATAAACAATCAAGCAGTCGCTATTTAATCCTTTTTTTTTTTTTTTTTGGCTTACGTTTAGCCTGATTAACGAGTTGTTGTTAAGTCCTATGCAGGTTTCTCAGGTTTCATGTGTGGAAGATGATAAAGCATTTTTTTTTTGTTGCTTTCCCCTCCTGCGTTCGCAGTTGTTTATGTTTCTGGTTGCCCGATTTTCAGGTAGGGATAATGCATGTGAGAAGACGTCTTACATGTTCCTGCGGAAGGAGCTGCCGGTGCGCTTGGCTAACACCATGAGAGAGGTCAATCTGCTGCCTGACAAGCTCCTCAGTCAACCTTCAGTCAAACTAGTGCAGAAATGGTGAGTACAAATCAGTTTGAATCGGAGTACATGCATGCTTCATCGAAGCCTGTCCTGAGCTGTCCCGAATCTCTCCACAGGTACATGCAAAGTTTTCTAGAACTTCTAGAGTTCGAGAACAGGAAGCCAGAAGACCCACATGCCCTGAATGAGTGAGTTGGACTTGTTTTTTTTTTTTTTTTTTTTTTTTTTTTTGCTTTTTATGAGACATCTAGATAGTCTTGTTTTTCAGGCTGTTGCACAGCATGCTATTATATTTTCATGCGAGGCTAGAGTTTACAACAGAGGAATCAGTAACTGAAAGCCACCCTGACAGAGCAAATAAGCATGCTGGGTCAGCGAAACACGGAGAAAAAATCCCACTCGCATACCATTTCTACATACAATGGTATTTATTATTGATACAAACTACTATAAATGATCTGAATAATGGACGGATCGAATGTCAAGCGAACCAGACAAGTCCTTTGCGCAGACTCTATAGGCAGCTTCATATGCTGGCGTGATATTCTGGATGATACCAATCCACAATCAGACTTGTGATACAGCCTGGAATTAAACCACATCATGTTTGGTTGTCTGCCCAGAGAAGAACTGTTTTTTTTTCTCCATTTCTGTCACCGATGGAGTTCGGGTTCCTTGCCACTCTCATCGTTTGCCTTGCTTAGTTGGGGCAGTAAATATTCAGTAATATTATTGACTTTAAAATCACTGTTTTCTCCAGATCTGCTTTATAGATGAAACTGAACTCTCAGTTAATTATGTGTTTCTGTATAATAAATGTGTTTTCTAAACTTCTGTACCTATAGCTTCTTGGAGACTCTTATTGAGATCAGGAATAGACACAATGATGTGGTCCCGACCATGGCTCAGGGTGTGATCGAATATAAGGAGAAGTTTGGCTTCGATCCGTTCGTCAGCTCCAACATCCAGTACTTTTTGGACCGCTTCTACACCAACCGAATCTCCTTTCGCATGCTCATAAACCAGCACAGTACGTCTCCCAAAAGAAAGACAGTCACCACATATCGGGCAACAGTTTTAGCCTAATTGCTTTTATCTTTATTACAGCTCTTCTTTTTGGTAATGACATCAACCCAGCCCATCCCAAACACATCGGCAGTATTGATCCCAACTGCAATGTCGCAGAGGTGGTGACTGGTAAGTTCGATTTTATTTTATTTTCTACATACCATTCAAAAGTTTGACGTCAGTAAGATATTAAATAAAATATATTTATTTATATAGATAAAATATATATATTTATATTTTATTCAGCAAGGGCATATTATTAAATTGATCAAAAGTGACAGTTAAGACAATTATGTTCATTTGAAGGAACAATTTTCCACAAAAGTATTAAACAGCACAACTGTTTTCAACATTGATAATAATAAGAAACTGAGCAGCAAATTAACTTATTAGAATTATTTCTAAAGGATCATGTGACACTGAATACTGCTGAAAATGCAGTTTTTCCATCACAGGAATAAATTACATGTAAAATATATTAAAATAGAAAACAGTTTGTTTAAATTATAATAATATTTCACAACATTTTTATTTTTACTGTGTTTTTGATCAAATAAAATGCAGCAGGTGAGCATAAGAGACTTCTTTCTTTACCAAACCCCAAACTTTGGATTTTGTTCTCTTCTGATCAAATGCCATGTTGTTTTCAGATGCTTACGAGACCGCCAAGATGGTGTGTGAGCAATATTATCAAGCTGCCCCTGAACTGAAGACAGAGGAATTCAATGGTACTTTTTCTTTTTGTTTTCTCACAAAACTCAATATATAATGTTTGTTTCAGTGTTAATTCATTTCTAATTCAAGTAACTCAATTTCTGGAGTTAGCATTTCTCAAAACTGCTATAAATATGTAACTTTTCTGTGCAGCTAAGGCTCCTCAAAAACCCATCCAGGCAGTGTATGTTCCCTCCCACCTATTCCACATGCTGTTTGAATTGTTTAAGGTATGTATGCACACACATGCATTTTGAATTGGATACATCATCTGTTACGCAATTCAATTTTCAGCAGCCCTAAACCTTTGTGCTTTTCCCAAGGCCATGACGTATTGCTTTAACAGCTTGTGTTTGTGTTTTCAGAACGCAATGCGGGCCACCAATGAGCTCCACGAGGGTAGTAAAGAGGGTCTCCCTCTTATAAAAGCAAAAGTGACCCTGGGGAAGGAAGATCTCTCTGTGAAGGTCAGTTTGTTGTTCTACATGTACAAATGACATGCCTTCATTGCCTTGATCCTAAACGTCCTGTTATTTTCATCATAGATCAGTGACAGGGGAGGGGGTGTGGCTTTACGGAAGATTGACAGGTTGTTCAACTACACCTACTCGACTGCACCAACACCCAGTCTGGGCTCTAAACGCGTGCCATTGGTAAAAAAGAAGTGTGGCTACAGTATTCTTACAGCAACAAACTTCATCGTGTCATCACTTAGTCACCCTTATGTGAATACGCACGACCAGTTTGACTTTTTATAAGATTGTGGAACACAAAAGGAGACATTTTGCAGAATGTTAACGCTGCTCTTCTTGGGCTTTCAAACTCTAAAAGGACACAAAACACCATAAAAACACCACAAAAGGACACAGAAAACATCGACAATTAGTTTAAATTGTCTTTTGAAGTCGAGCAGACCCAAATTTAAGTTGATGTTTGTCAAAAATCATCCATTCTACTGCCACTATGGTAAATGATGACACGATTTTAGGTGAACCATCGAACTTTAACCTTGAATAGCAGCTCTAAATGTAGCATTGTCCTCTTTAACTTGATCTCCATGCGTCTCTAGGCTGGTTTTGGACATGGTTTGCCGATATCCAGGCTGTACGCCCGCTACTTTCAAGGAGACCTGAAACTGTACTCAATGGAAGGCGTGGGGACCGATGCCGTCATCTACTTGAAGGTAACGGCAGCTCTCAATTTGCACTTTAGTTAATCGTTTCACTGATTTTCAATGACATCCACCCCATCACCTTCCCTGACCAGGCCCTCTCCAGTGAATCATTTGAGCGTCTGCCCGTCTTTAACAAATCTGCTTGGCGACACTACCAAGGAGGCCCAGGAGCGGATGACTGGAGCAACCCGAGCAAAGAGCCCAGAGATGCCTCAAAGTACAAGGCCAAAAGATAATTGCACTCACCCCATCCATGTCCCACTGCACCCATTACAGACCTTTCCGCCTTTAGTCTAGCTTCAGTTGCCACGGCAACATCACATTGATGCTGAGTGTTTTAGACTTGTTAGCATTTCCAGAGCAGAACATCTGATGATGCAAGTGTCATTAAGTCTCGGCTCCTTCCTCCTCTGTGCAGCTACAGACGTAAGACACAGAGTCTCGATTTAGCGTCTTCCAGGGTGGTGAGAGAGGAAAGGGTGAGCATTTGTGTCCAGGGTGTTAGATGCTTTTTTGTGCCACACAGTAGCTCCCCTGTTTCATTTTCTATAGCAGTCAGAGACTGAAGTCTGGAGTTTGAAATGGTCAAAAAAAAGAGCATTTCTTTCACTGCCATTCGAATATTCGCAGGCAATAGAGAGAGAGAGGGAGAGAGAGAGAGTTTGTCCTCAATTTCTGTGGCTTCCACTATGATTTTCTTGGCAGTGAACTAATGGAGAACCACTTTGAAAAGGCTGAGGAGAAACTCAAAATCTCATGAAATCTCAAACTTTTGGTTATTTTCACCCCCAAATTAAAAGAAAGAAAAATGTACATTTTGCATAAAGAAAATGAAGCTTTGTAGTGTAATTAGTATACTACTGTAATACAATGTACTAATTGTACTATAGTACTTTGTAGTATAATAATGTAGTATATTTATATAGTAAATTAAAGTTTTTTTATATATATATTCTAAATAATATTTGTAATAAGTAATACGTATACATAAGTATTACATATATTATGTGTATATGTATATATTAGTGCTGTCATCAATCAAAATGTTTGTGTGTGTTTGTGTATTTTTTATGTTTGATGCGATTAATTGTGATTAATCGATTTGTCAGCACTCCCAATAATATAGTTCCTAGTTCTGTTATATTACTAATCTATAATCTATATTTATAAATTTAAGTTATTTAATTATTTTAAATGTATGCTGATTTTAATTGAGAAATGCAACTGTATTACAGTAGTGAGAATTTAAGGAGGAACATGTGCTTAGTTCTCATGAAAATATTATAATGTAAACAATACAATGCATCATTTTCTTAATGCAAAATCATTTCTTTTAATGTTTTAGGTGAAATGTTAGCAGGTCATTTCCTCGTTAGATGCGCCCAAATGTTTTTGGGGTCAGGGAGTATGCTGATGAACTGATGTTTCCAAGCATGCAGGAATGCACTTTTAAACAAATCAATGTCGTTTCAAACATGTATTTATTTATTTATTTGACCCCAATATATTTAGCCTCAGTCTTTAAGTATGAGTAGCAGAAGTACATCTCCTACATTAACTTATAGGTCAACAATACAGAGTTTCCTACTAAGGTAAATGGTGAGACTGTGATAAACTTGTGCATCACAATAGCCTATTAGTCATAAATTTGTTTTGTTTTTTCGTCTTGTAAAAGCAGATACTGCTTTCACGATATTATGGCCCCTGCATGGTGACATTTGATAGTGGATAGAAGGAAATTTGCTTGCAGACTTTGATGGACCAGAAAGTTTAGATGTTTAGATTTCAGCAGCATGTGATTGAGAGAGAAAATGCATAGCTAGATATAAACTCATAGATGTAACTTTTTTTGGTTAATTTATTTTTATTATACCACTACCTCTCAGTCATTTCTGGTTTGCTTTCTTGAGAAACTCATCTTAAAATAATTCCTGACATGGATAAGATTTGGGACCAGTTGAGTGCATTGATTCTTTTACATTAGATGAAATACAGGGCAGAACGCTTAACTACAAGCGTAACTTTGCCCAGGCTAGTAAGTTTTTCTGTTACCCTTTCATTGATCACTTAAAATATTATTTTTGTACACAAGTATAATTAGGTGAACCTGGATGATATTTCTTGTTGCTTTTTGGAAACTCCATAAGATAAACATTAGTTTGTTTTTACTGCAACACTCCAGGATGAATCTCACGAAACCAGTCAAAAACACGTCTGAATCATATTTCATCCCCAAAAAATTACTCTGCATTAAAAAAACAAACTATTTTTACAGTGAGATTGCTGTGCATTACAGTACTTGAGAATTGAGGAATAAAATCTATTAAATAGTCATGAAAATAGTATTACGGCTCAAAAGACTTTCCTCTTCAAGCAAAATAAAATTTTATTTTGGGATTTTGAGATAAAATATAATTTTCCCCGTGATATTTGCCTCATGCTGTTGTCTGTTACTGTTCCACATGTTATAATCTTTCCATAGAAATCATGAAAAACCATCTACATCTGTCTTAATGCTGGTTTGGGGCTCTCATGAGTCCTCAAGGGAACTTTTTTTTTTTTTTTTGGTGACATACAGTACATTATATTTTCTCATGCTATTGAAGTGTAGATTTCAGTATTTATTTAAAAATATTTTTTAAATAATTTGTTAGTTTTCATGTGTAAGTCAATGAAGAATGCACTTTGATGCCTTGAATTCAGAGCGTTCAGAAGAGCAGACAGAAGAATGCAAGCGTTTTCCTGTGAAACCAAGCCTTGTCGTCGTCAAGCTCAAATAGTCTTTGATTTTGCTAGTATACTCTCGTTCATGCACAACACATTAGAAAAAGTTTTACCTACAATGAAATATCTTACCTGATATTCTAGTGTTGACATACAACCATCTTATATCTGCAAAATGGACATTTTTGTGTGACTATTGTTGTTGTTTTTTTTGGACTTGTTTTCTCGTTCTTCTCAAGTACAACACCACTGCTTATAGATAAATGCAGTTTGAAACAAAATACAAAATGTGTTAATGATTTTGTGTGAGGCTGACATTCACACATAAATCATCATGATGAATATATTGATCTATTGACATTCCATAAAGTACTTATAAAAGAAGAACAATAAAGAGATCTTCCAGTACTATCATTCATTTTTTTTGTGTACTTGAATTTGTAATGAATCTCATAGCTGGCAATTGTTCTGTTTCTCAGTTTATTATTTACATTTTAAGTTAGTTTTAATGTAAAAGAAAACATACAAACCAAATAAAGACATTTTTTTTTACAAAGTACAGATTATGTCAACTGACGTGACTCTTGCATACATATAATGGCATAATTAGACAAGACGAAAGGAATTACATGTAAATTGAGCAGCACAGATTAATGTGATATCCCTCTTTTTTTTTTTCATTTTATTACCATTTATCTAAAAGCTACTAGAACGTTTGGCTGTATTATTCTTAAGACAATTCTTGATCGTACCACTTCATGTGCAAAGAAATTGCTTTATTTTGTGGCTGCAGTAACACAAGTTAATGACTGTTAATGAGAATTAAACACATTCATGCACAGACAAGTTAGCGAATGCTAGCGGCCTCCTCATTGGTGCACTGATACATATTCATGAGGTGGATCAGACATCGTTTATCTTGAAAACAAGGAACAGGGATTGGTGTATGTACAGTATGTTACAGTAGGGCAGTCCTGAGCAATAGACGACAGAATCAGTCCTCATCCTTTTAAACGTTTGGGGTGAATTCACTAAACTTGTGGCACTTTCGCTCAGTATTTCAGTGTCTATTTCACTAACCGCACTTTTTTCGGCCTCTACTCTGTCATTAACCTAATTAAAGTAAACTTAAAATAAGCAAATCATAATGTTTTCTTGTTAAAGCTGATAACTGATACTAACTCTAATCTATACTTCATTTTATCATTACAGTATGACAAATGGACATTTATTTTGAGATTTGCTTAAGATTACGTTAAGTTATGACATTATTATTGCGTTAAATATGAACTTTAAGTGTGTGTTAGATAATGACAAAGGTAATTACAATTTAAAAACACGGGAAGTGAGCACACACTATTAAATATCCAACAAATTCTAATATTATCAACAGAAAAAAAACTATTTTATACTGATATCCTTGTTGATTTGCATTCATTTTTAGGGATTTGGGTGCGAAAAGCACACACAGCTTGTTCAAATGTGGCCACAATTTATTCAGTGAATCCCCCCCGTTTAATAAATCTCCTCTCAGGATCTGTTCAGGGCTGCAATGGCTTTTTTTTGCTGTAATACCAGCACAACTAAACAGGACTTCAACAACCCTGCGCTGTGTACAGTACTTTAAATTTTTCCCATGAGGGTAATTGACCTGTCATTGCTGCCAGTGTGTGTTATGTATGTGACGTGTGAATGGGTAAAGTGCAGTCTATTCTGTGTGCGATGGGCCACTTTTTACTTCTCATCCTCGTCTCCCTCGCTCATGCTGCTGATGGAGGCTGAAGCACCCTTCGGGGACGAGGGCGGTGAGGTTCTGGGCATGGCCCAGCGGGAGGGGGGTGACGGGGAGCGGGATGGGGAAAATTCCCTTGGTGGGCTGTTGCTGGGTGAACCGCGCGGAGATAACGCCTGGATCATGCGTCCGCTACGATCCTGAAACATCTGCTTCTGGAAAAATTAAAAGGTCATACTATATACATATGCACCATTCAAAAGTTTAGGGTCAGCAGGGTTTTTTATTTATTAAAGAAATTAGTTAGTATGATTTTTTTTGAAGAATCACGTGACACTGAAGACGAGTAATGATGCTGAAAAATACGCATTTTAAAATGTAATAAAATAGAAAATAGTTCTTTAACATTTTAATAGTATTTCACAATATTACTGTTTTTACTATAGTTTTGATGAAATAAATTACCCCTCTGTGAGCATAACTGTAGTCTTTCAAAAACATTACATATTTTTACTGACCCCTTTTGAACGGTAAAGTGTGTGTGTGTGTGTATATATATATATATATATATATATATATTATATATATACCCAAATAAATACATATCTGCTTACCCATGTCCCATCTGGGCCGAATAGCTCCAGGAAGTTCCCGATGAACTCTCGTGATTTCTCCTCCCACTTTTGGATAAGATCATGGCTCTTCTCTTCCACTTTATATACAAAGTGCTTGGACTTCTCCTCCACTGTCCGCACTTTCTCTTTCATCTTGTCCACCTGATTCTGCAGACGGTACTTCTTTTCCTGTCCAGAAACAGTTCAGAGTCAGCTCAGCAAGCTTTTTATATTTGTCAATGGCATTCAAAACACACTTTACTTTCGTAATGTTTCGTCCTTCAAAGAAAATGTGGATTTTCAATGAGAACGTTTTATTTATTGTAATTATGGGTCTAATTATGCTACATTGTGCAATGTAATGTTTTTGGTCTATTTTTAATTATTATTATTATTTTTTTACTATTTAAACATTCATATTCTCACTATATTTATAGTCCGATCATATATAGTGACCCAAATACACCCTTTTATGATGAACAATGAGCATGTTTAAATTTATTAATTAAAATGCATTTAGATATGAATTTTTTAGTTTAATGTTGGTTAAACATGTCATGTAACCCCAAAAAGGTAAACAATTCATGATATTTGCCACAAAACAAATTTTTCTCTGAAAAATGGTAATTTGTTTCAGAAATCAATAAGTTTATTAAAATAAACTGAAATTGGATTCAACATTTAAATACATTAAGTTCACTTTCTTACATTAATATAACTGACATTCAGTTCTTTAGCGGTGTAGCCCCTCTGCAAGTTGCGTCTAGCGTACACGTCATAGTCTCTCACGATCCGGGTGATCAGGTCGGACGTTGAGATCCCTTCTGTCCTTTTAGTGGGCACAAACATACCTGAGACACTCACACATGTTAGACCTGGTCTGAAGCACAAACATACACATGCTCTTAAGCGAACAATGCTTTTCTTTACCTGCCTCCTTAATATGCTTGTACACGTCCTCAGATCCAGCAGAGGAGTATGGGATGTCATCATGCGCCACAAAGTCAATCTAGAGAATACGAACCAGAGGGTTAATCGCGGGGAATTATGGGTACGGGACTGTGCTAAGACTTGACTAACCTTGTGTTTTTCTAAAAAATCTGGGGTAAGAGTCCAGGGCGCATCACGCAAAATCTCATCGACATAGCGGCAGTGTCTCAACGCCTCGTACCGCTCGTCTTCTGTCATTACGGTGAAACCCTTGAACTTGTGAGTGAGTTCATCACTGCATACTTAACACACACACAGACACAAACACACACAAATACACATTTCATCAGTTTAGGACCACACAATTAATAATTCAACAGAATACTGAAAAGTCTGGATTATAAATTAAGTGTGTCTACCTCCAACTATAAGGTAGGCGTTTGGGAACAGATTCTTAGCCTGCATCAGGGCACGAGCGTGTCCAGAATGAAAAAGGTCGAAGATGCCATCTGCATAGATTCGCACCGGTCGGTCTACTGAAAATGGAAAATTCAAGACATGTTTAGAAATTATTTACAATTTTCCTGAACATACACACACAAAAAATTGGTTTCTATAATAACGTTCAAAAGTTTTGGGTCACTTCATTTAAAAAAAAAAAAAAAAAGAATGAACGCCTTTTAAGATGGTCATGTTTAACTTTCTCCTCAGTTTTACCTTCCACAAACTTAAAATAGTCCTTAAGGGTATCAAAAACCTTTCACCCGTTCTCCTTTGGTCTCTTCTTCACTGTAGCCGAGCTCAGTTATCACTGCCCAGCAGAACTGTGGTATGCGAGAGCTTTGTGAATGTGAGAATCTGGGTCACAGAATGAACAGGGAATCCCTGAATCTAGTCTTGCTGTTTCTGATCCCAGTGGTGGGCTATTCTACAAGCACTGTATTTTCCTCTGCCACTGATATGGGATCAGTTTAAGTAGCTTAACTTATCAATGTTTGATAGGATTATTGAAAAGGGTCCAAAAGGTAAAAAATAAACTTTCCAGAACTTTCGGAAATGTTTTTTGACACATGTACACTTACACATCTATAGGCTACCTTTTTTGTTACTTTTTAGTAAATCAACTACCAAAGGTCTTAGACTTAAAGTCTTACTTGTCTTTGGATTGTGTCAATAATTATACAGCATCTCACAAACGTGAATAAACATTTCAGCAAACATTTTGTTCATTCACTTGATTTTATTGCATTGCGTCCCAGTGTTTTTGGAAATGGGGTTGTAATAAATCAAGATATAATGAATGAAGTTATGCGCTTTAATAAAGTTAAGTTTTAGTTAACCATTTTAGAGCTTGAGATTCAGAGTGTTACACCCAGTTACATAACTACTTTATGACATAAGCATATTCATTTTCTAGGTTATAGTGCAACAGGAATTACCTTATTACAAAAGTACTTTTTAAACTAGTGTGTATCTTTTTGTAATGATAAATAAAGTGTGAAGAGAGAAAGTACAGACTGACCAGGCGTTCCAAGTCGAGCTTGCTCTACAGTCAACTTCTCGTGTGGCGCCCGACACTTACAACTCGTCTCGGGGGTAAATAAGGCTGGCTCTATAAGAGTCTGAAGAGAGAAAATGAAGAATATTGATTTGAGAGATATTATGAGAAATATATAGACATTGTAGCTTCCCAAATAAAATACTGTTTAGGTTAAACAAGACTAGATCCTGCTGGCTTGACATCCTATTTAATCTTCTCAAAAATCTTTACCTTTTTGTACTAATACAGGTTATTATCTGATGTATTGATTTCAAGACAATCTGTGTAACAGTGTAACGCCGAATATTGATTTGTCCTGTAGAGGCTTCTCTGATATCGTTGACTAAAGACAAATCATTCGTCCACAGCAGCACAGTGGGGGAGATAGACACAGACATGCTGTACATAACAGATATTTCAATCTATTCAAACCTCCTAGAGGCTTATTGCATAAACAGAGACCAATAGGTTTGCAGAGACTGTGACAACACATGGCATTTCAATGTATAGCAAGCAAGGCAGCAGGAATACACTTAGTGTATTCTAAGTGTATTGTGCATCTTTCAGAGTTTAAATGTGGGGAAGAATGGGGTTAGTTGTCAAAATTGTATTGAATTTTGGCTAAAAATGATTGAAATAGGATAAAATCAATTTCGATATGGAAAGAATTGATTAAATATGAAATATGATCTTGTTAAAAACATTGTCCACTTCAAGTCTGAATTATATTAATAGCTGGAGCATATGCATATATAATATTTACTAAATAATTCATAAAAAGATACACAAATATAAAATTATTGAGATGTGGTTTTATTGTGCTCACTTTTTTACCCAACATCTAGCAAACTATTTAATTATATAAACTAACAAAATTATTTTAACTAAAACTTTGACAGATTTGAATTTGATCTTTTGAACAATGTTATATTTAATGGGTTTTTGTTTAACAAAAACATTTACCACTTTAAGTTTGTATTATATTAATAATATTATATTATAATGCATTTAATATTTGTATATATTAAATACAAATATTAAATGCATTATACATATATTATTATTATATAAAATATATTATTAGGCAATAGGTTTTTGCCTAATAAAAACCTTATCCACTTCAAGTCTTACTTTATATTGTATTTTATATTGTTATATTACATCATTTATTTTATATTATATTTTTTATAATGTATTATATTTGGGTTTTTCCTTAATTTAAAGAGTAAAATAAACATCATGAAAAAACTATCTCACTTGTTTACTCAACAGTAAATAAAAAAAAAAAATGTTTGCATTATTCTAATTTAAGACCATTTTGAACTTGGTGTTTGAAACCAATACAAAACCTTTGCTACAGAAAAATAAATATTGATAAAATCAAGATATATATAGTGGCATTTGACTTAGTTACAAAGATACTAGTTACAGAGATACTATCCAAATGCCAACGTCCAAGTGTGACAACTAGCCCCAATCTGTTTCTGTAAATGTGGGCGGAGCCACCAGATGCTGCTTCAATGAATACTGGGCAAACACATTACAGAAATGTTAAAGAATATTTTCTGTTTTAACCTTCCATTGACTTTTGAGATCTTTGGGACAATGGTGACCATCTGTCCTTTCAGGGAATACCCGGTGAGAGCTTCTTCCTGCCGGTCAACAGGAAACAGCTGGTACATATGCATAAACATTTTACAATGAAGATATTCAATGTAGGTGTGATATGGAGGAAAAATCTCCATGAAGCAATGCATGATTCATTGTCATAGCAACGTTTCACATAGCAGTGTTTCGAAGGATGCTGGGTACCTTTCCCAGAATTCTACAAGGTGAAGAGGAGGAGCCACATCACAAAAGGCAACCTGCAGATAAATGCAATTTGGATGTTGTCTGTAACATTAGCCCTGCAGCATCAAACCAAAGCGTTGTCTCTCTCACTAAAACACAACATCTGGTAGATGCAAAGGATTAAAAGAGCTGATAGCAGGATTATGACATGGCATTAGCACAAACACACACACACACACACACAGTCAGTACAAAACATCTCACTTTAACTGCAGTTTCACAAGCTCAGCGTCACCCAGACAGTAGGACAATAAAAAGGGCAGATGAAAACAAAGAAAAAGTGATCCAGCCTCTCCTCAACGTTTCACGGATGCCCTCGACGACAACAAAACGCATATATCTCACCGTTCGTGGCAGTGGACAGGTATGTTCCAGCTCCTCCATGATTTCTGGAGGGTCCAAGCCAAACAGGATGTGACTCCACCTGTACCTGACTCAGCATCAGTCTGGAGGCGCTTTTCTAGCCGTTAGCCGAGCCTCGGTCAGGGATGCTCTCTACTCCAGCCTGTGTCTAGATCCCACCCACTCGCTCTTCTCTTCCTCTCAGCCCCTCCCTGCGCACACACAGGACCTCTGATGGCACAACAACAACAAGGAAGAGAGTCTGTTGATGAGGGCAGTGGCAAGGGGTTGGAGGACCAATCAGCAAACATGTACTCGGACCTAATTTACATACGAGAGTGTGATTGGCTGAGCAGGCTATAGCACCATGACCGTGAACCCACGGCTGGGTATCTCTGAATGCTCTTCATCTTGCTTCCTCATTGTGGTGGATCACAAAGGCTTGCTGAAAAAGACAACAATACTGTTAAGATGGGATAGCAAGTTACATAGATTTCTCATCTGATCCCCATTTTTCAGCCCTAAACTAAACTTAAGACATGACAGTGAAGTGTTTGGTGTTTGTGGCAATTTAAGCAACCATTTTTTATATTTATTAGAACAGTTTTGTTTGATATTCTTGACTGTAGCATTAAATTAAGTTTGCAAACATAGTTTCAAGCAACATTTTAAGCTATGCAAAACAAAGACCTTAGCCGAATTTCTATTTGTTTTGTGTAGTTCTGAAAACATTTACTACTTGAATTTAATCCATCTAGCAAAGATCATATTTTTATATTCAGGTGCACAAAATCACTTTTTCAAAAACAGGGAAAAAAAATTGACTGATTGATGATTATATGATAAATAATATACTAATAATATAGTTTATTATAATATTTATAATAATATAAATACATTTATGGTAATTTAATTAATATACAACAACTTGAACTGTCCACTTTTAAAGCTTACAACAGTTCTGTGCTATTTTTACTTATTTAATTGCTTATTTAATTACATATAATGTGTCTATATATATATATATATATATATATATAGTAGCGGGACTTAGAAAAAAAAGAGGAGAGAACATGTGAGTTGTTAAACCCAGAAGGTGTGTTTTATTTCTTGTGCAATAATGAGGATTGGTGCTCTTGTGCTTCTGTTGTGAGTGCTGGAGAAAGTGGAGTGAAGACTGCTAACTTCAGCCAGACAGCAGGGAGTTAGCTTGACCAACAGGGAGTTATATCAAGACTTCCAGGAAGAACCTTTGCTAAACAAAAAACTAGAAACATAATTACTGCAACAATGATCCGATCATAGAATCTTAAGCATTTGCCTATTTAAATCCAAACAGATTTTATTTTTTTATTTGTTGGCCAGGCAGAGTATCTAATAAAGCTGTAAAATATTGCTATATTATGTTTTGTTTTTCACTGGGATTTACTTCCAGTTCAGAAAACATTTTGAGAACTGTTCAGTTGTTATCCACTTGGTGGCACCATTGTTTCAATTTAAGCTAGTGTGTTTGAACATGGCACAAAGTGGTTTAAAATAGTTACAAGATGCTACCGAAAAAAAAAATTAGGGTTGGAAATTAGACAAGCAGTACTTGTTAATATTTTCCCATTCAGCTTCCATCCATTTACTCTCTGCTGTCAGTCCCATGGCTAATCAAATTAACAAAACTGAACATTTTTAAGTTTCTAAATATTAGTTGTCAATGTTTCATCAAACAGGATCAAGAGAATAACAGTAGCTCCATTCAGCACAAACTTTTCTTTTGACAACCGTTCCCCTGAACGTGTGCATCTCTCCATTGATTGCCAGTGATGCTTTCATTCAGCAGGTAATTATTTCAGTCACAGGACAGAACAGAAGTGCTTTGAAGAACCACCCCCTATGTGGTCCAGGAGAGCTGGCGAGAGATTTGATATCCTCTTATGCATTTTATGTGAGCTCCTCTCCTCATCAGCATGAAGACTGAGTCTCATTTTCCTCTTAGACTGGGGTATGTACTTTTGACTGCTGTATCCCCAGAGACTCAGAAGGGCAACAGTACTGTGAATAACACTTCCATCGGTGGGGCCGTGGCTAATAGATTCAACTCTCATGGCTTGTGAAGCAGCTGCGCTCCAGCTCAAAAAGGTTATCGGTCTGTGTCATAATCAAATAGAGTATAAACAGGAAGATCCTTGACAAAGAGAAGAGGCGTTGAGAGGGCCTGGAAACAACAACAAAAAACACTTCCTTTTTGAGACAACTACAATAAGATTTAAGTGTGCTGATTCAAGGTTAAAGGGTTAGTTCACCCAAAAATGAAAATTATGTCATTAATAATGACTCACCCTCATGCCGTTCCAAGCCCATATGACCTCCGTTCATCTTCGGAACACAGTTTAAGATATTTTAGATTTAGTCCAAGTTTTCTGTCCCTCCATTGAAAACGTATATACAATATACTGTCCTTGTCCAGAAAGGAAATAAAGACATCATCTAAGTAGTCCATGTGACATCAGTGGGTTCATTAGAATGTTTTGAAGCATCTAAAATACAGTTTGGTCCAAAAATAACAAAAACTATACGACTTTATTAAACATTGTATTGTCTTTCGGTTCTGCGTTCACGAGTCCGCAATGATGCTGGTGACGGCGCGTTCTCTGGGTGTAACGATACCCTCATGTCACGATTTAATACATATCACGATACTGATCCCACAATACGATATTATTACGATACAATATTATTGCGATACTCCAAGACATGAGGTAAAAGGTTAACAAAAAATGTAGGTACTGTTGATTAAAATGCTAAATTTGGTATTACATTGCGGGTTTAAATGAATAGACTTGGACTTGGTGGTTGTAACCCAAGGACAATGGTGACACCAGAATAACAATGATCCTGAAGCTGAAATGATTGAGTTATTGTAGATGAATATGCTTGCACGCTTTCATTGACTAGATATATTTAATATAATGTTGGACACTTTTTACTGGTAACATCAGACATTTGGCATTATCAGGACCCAAAAATATCCCCCCATTGCATTATTGTACATTATAATCAACATTATATATACTGTATATATAGAAGTTCAATGTAGCCTAGTACTTGCACTAAATGTCGGAAAACTTGATTTTTTTCCTCACACAATAATTTTTATTTTGGGGGGACTATCCACGATACATATTGTCACTATCCACGATACGTATTGTTGCATTTTTGTATTACGATATATTGTGGCACGATATATTGTTGTTACACCCCTAACGTTACTGGTTACAGCCTGGTTAACGTTACCAGAGAACACGTCAGCAGCGTCACTGCAGACAGAACCGGAAGATACAATGTTTAATGAAGTCATAGGTTTTTGTTATTTGACATGTAGCCTATTTTCGATGCTTTAAAACAATTCTAACTAACCCGCTGATGTGGAGGGACAGAAAACTCTCGGACTAAACTGTGTTACGGGCTTGCGACATGAGGGTGAGTCATTAATGACATTTTTTTTTAACTACGTAACACGGATATTCTTTTATCTTATAACGTTACTGAGATTCCACTGATAATTGTTTGACCTTATCTGCCTTAGTAACTTAAGTGACATTAATGTAATTCTGGCCTTACAAACAAACTAAAGTTAATCAATTTTGATTTAACGTTAATCGAATCCTCGTTCAACGCGGCAATGTGAACCGTAGCGCGTGCACGAATCTGTACTTCGAAATACTCATTTATTTAAAGGTAATATAATACAAAGTATACTGTTTATGGACATAACCTTAAAAAATAAAAATCTAAAAAATCTTTCCATGTTTATGATGTTGATGACTGTTAAAACCTCGTCATCACAGTCTGTGAAAAGGGTCTATTTCTACAGGAAAATGCTACAGACGGAGGTAATTCACAACTCTCTCTCTCTCTCTCTCTCTCTCTCTCTCTCTCTCTCTCTCTCTCTCTGTCTGAATAATTAATTCAAATAAATGATTAAAATTAACAAATTATTGCTCTGTTTTCTCTGTCTGTGTGATTTAAAGCGGGCAGAATAGACCTAACGAGTAACAAAAATGATAAATAAAATAATAAATAACCCTGATTTTCACCCATCCAGGCAAATATTGCACAAGTATGCAACATCAACAGCTTTAACTTGTTTTTAACTTGGCAAATGCCCACGGTAATGCAGGATAATCCACTGCTAGCTGTGCATTAAACTATTTGAATGCAAACTCTGCTTCGTAACTACTCTTATTCCCTTCGCAATGGGTAGTTCTTTGCCTCCACCTCCAAGTTGTGTGTTAAAATTGTTTAATACACCACTAGCTGTGGATTATCCCTTATGTATACCTTAAAAAAAACTTTTTTTAACAATCCAGTTATGTGGGAGACTATTGCAGGAAAAATCAGGAGAAAGCTGATGTCAGAGCATTATGAGGTGAATTCATGCTGACATGCATGTCAACAATAGAGTGCCTTGATTCCCATTGTTTTGTCAGACCTATGTATAGCTATTCAGGCAATATATATTTAGAGTGAAAAAGCTTAAGCCACAAGGAGCTTTCAGTTTGAAGAGCTCTGCATGAAACGCGCCCTGGACAATTGATGTAGTTACGGATCGCAGCTAGTTGCAACAAATTAATTAACTTGCCTGATATAGAGCCTTTGAAATAAAATTAATGTCACCGCAGGAGCAATTTCCTCACTATAAGGGCCTGATCAGACGTTCTCTTTGTGAAAATAAAGCCTAATTATGTCCGACATCTGGCTCGCATAGTTAAGAATTTGATAAAACAACAAACAAAGCATCACATACCATTTGTTTGATGACAACCCCAAAGCTGCACAGCATCCATCTAATCGTTTACTATAGATAGCTTACAGGTATGTGAAGAATCTTGTTATAGCACCCAAAGCTGTGATTCTGGATTTAACAATGTCAACAGATCACCAAATGGCACTGTTTTATTTTGGGCATCACTAATTACACCCGGTATTGAAGGCTTCCTGTGAAAGTGAAGCTTCTGACAGCTATGGAAATGAGAATAGGAATGACGCTCTCGTGTTTGCTTGCAGGTAGTGTGACTGCGAGAATTTTAATGAGAGGTGAGTGCGATATTAACAGTCGCAAACAGTTTTTGTTTAGGTCCTCGTGTGAAGTCCCATGTTCTGTCGTTCCAGCAGTTTCAATCACTGCTGGTTGTTTGATGACGCACGCAAAGTAGTTGGTTATCGTGAAGGGTTACTGAGT